AAGGCAGACGCTTAACCATCTGAGCCACCCAGGCGCCCTGACTCTGCATTTTTATATTTAAAAAATTCACACTCTTGCCACTGAAAATTAAGTTCTTACCACGATTTCTTAATTAGATCTTTGTTCTGGGATCTTCACGGCTCCCTGGGTCAGAAACTCCAAGCTCAGGCTCTGTTGCCTAAGTAAGTCTAAGAAAAATGTCTTGATCTGGAATTAAGAAAGGCTATCTTTAACTGTTATGGAGAAGAGAGAATTCTGTTCGGTCAGGAATGACTTAGATATTTGCCACAGACCCCATTTCTTGCCCAGAGCACTTGTGGCCCCTCCACGAGGCTTTGGAACCCTTGCTTGGAATCTCTTGGGTCCTTGAAGAAGTCAGGTTTGACCTGGGCACGGCCCACGTTTCCTTCAGTACACCTCCCCTCCGTTGCCCCCAAGGCCTTGGTTTATTGTCGGCAGCCAGTGGATGTTTTATTGAACCTAAGACCCGGTATGAGAGAATTGGAAAAAATATGGCCAGGAGATGCTATCATACTTGAAACCGAGAAATTCTGGGTAATTGCTGAGTGCCTCGTATTAGTTCCTATGGGGAAAATACATGGCAAAATGTGTAATGGGTTAATATTGTAAAGCGAAAACGTGTATGAGATCAATCAGAAGGTACATAGCTGCCTCTGATACTCAGAATGGGAATGGCACTGATCTGCTGATAATATATTTTATTATTATTATTATTCTCCAGCCTCAGACGATACAGCAGACTCTCAAGAGGACCCTGCAGTATTACGAGCACCAAGTTATTGGGTAAGTAAAATGGATTTTGGTCATTATTTGGGGCAAATTAATTACTCAAACATAGCTGTTGAGCGTGTGGTTTTCTGCCACCTAGGTGGGTCTTATTTCACACTGGCTGTGCTCCCAGGGTGGGCTGGGGGCTCATCGGGACCCCTACAGTGATTTCCTTTGGCCTGTTTGTGTTTAATCCTTTTCAGTGAAATTCCCTTTTGGTATGGCCTTTCCTTTTTTTTTTTTCCCTTCTTGTGTTCTTACCCTCTTATTCCCATCCATTGAATCTGATGATTTTGCCCTGGGATTACGGTAAGGTTTAATGGTACCAACTGAGAGGCTTTAAATGGGATTTTAGAATTCTTTAGTAAACTTTACTCAAAGGCATTACAAGCCTAATGGTTCTCAGCGAGAGGCACTGGTTTAGTTAGAGTCACATGCTACCTAGTTTTCTTTCATCTTGCATTTCTTGACATCGTTGTGATACGGGGTAAAGTAAGAAGACAAGATGAAGAAACAGGAGCTCACGGCCTCACCAGCACGTAGAACTTTAAAGTAACTTCACCTGTTTTGCAAAGGATGACGATGATGGTAACAACTAATTGAGGATTAGATGCCATGGATAAATGAGGTCATTTCTTTTTTTTTTAATTAACATACAATGTTATTTGTTTCAGGGGTACAGGTCTGTGATTCATCAGTCTTACACAATTCACAGCGCTCACCATAGTACATACCCTCCCCAATGTCCATCACCCAGCCACCCCATCCCTCCCACCCCCCTCCACTCCAGCAACCCTCAGTTTGTTTCCTGAGGTTAAGAGTCTCTTATGGTTTGTCTCCCTCTCTGGTTTCATCTTGTTTCATTTTTCCCTCCCTTCCCCTTGATCCTCTGCCTTGTTTCTCAAATTCCACATATCAGTGAGATCATATGATAATTATCTTTCTCTGATTTACTTATTTCCCTTAGCATAATACCCTCTAGTTCCATCCACGTTGTCGCAAATGGAAAGATTTCATTTTTTCGATGACTGCATAATATTCTATTGTATATATATACCACATCTTTATCCATTCATCTGTTGATGGACATCTTGGCTCTTTCCATAGTTTGGCTATTGTGGACATTGCTGCTATAAACATTGGGGTGCACGTGCCCCTTCAGATCCCTACATTTGTATCTTTGGGGTAAATACCCAGTAGTGCAGTTGCTGGGTTGTAGGGTAGCTCTTAAATGAGGTCATTTCAATGAGCATATTCTGTACATAGAAAGCTCCAACTAAGTGTAAGGTATACTTTCGATTGGCTATGGGAGGAAGCAGTTGGAAATACAGAAGCCTAAATTCACTTTCTGATGCAATCTAGCTTAAAATAAAGGAATGAAACTCATGGACAGGAGAGGTGGTGCATATTTTAAATTCACATCGTTAATGTTCTGTATGCGCTACCGTTATTTATTTGTGTAAGATTGTAAGAACTTTTGAGGAGTTAAGATTCAAACCCTGATACGTCTTGAGGTGCTGTTGAGCATCATTTAACATTTGGGGCTAATAGTCAATGCCATGGGGATTAAGGATGCATTTTTGGTTATTGGGATATAGTGTGATTTTTTTTTTAAACAAAAACAGAAGAAAAGAAAATGGTGGAAAAATAATCTCGGTACCTAGTACAATGCTGTATACCTTTAGTACTTGGTGATTATGTTAATTGTCATTTCAAAGGGAATTGCTTTGAAACGTTGTCACATCAATTCTCAAAAGTGCAGTACTAGGAAAAGCATATTATTTAAACTCATGAGATGGCTTTTAATTTGAGGCCATTTGTGATTTTAAATGGTTTCTCCTAATGGAGGTAAATGATGTCAAATTGATCTCTCCCCACATATTCTAAAATAAAACTTAATCACTCTCATTGGATCTGCTGCTTCCACAGTGTGGTATTCGGTTTGAATTTTAGTCAATATATTTAGAACAGTTTCCTGTGTGTGGTGAGCACTATGTATTTGTTTGCTTTTATGTTTATTATTATTATTTTTAATATTTTAAGACAATACCAGTAATCAAATGCAAAGCATTTCCTGGAATAGTGAATGCCCTCTCTGTTTTGAAATGAAATCATAACTGGTCCAAGTCTCATTTGCGAACCAAGCTATGTCTTCACGGCAAATTGGAATGGGAGTCTTAGAACTATGATCAGAAGAGGTAACTAAACTATATTATCATAATCAGCAGAAGATTATTTTTTCCATTAGTAACATGTGACATAGGAAAAGACATTAGGGCTTGAAGCCGAAAGAATTCTTGAGACGTCTTTGGTGCAAAAAGGTGGTTTTATTAAAGCACGGGGACAGGACCCGTGGGCAGAAGGAGCTGCACTGGGGTCGTGAGGAGTGGGCTAATTATATACTTTGAAGCTGGGAGGGGGTTAGGGAGAGCGTAAGTCTCTAAGGAATTTTGGAAGCAAGCTTTCCAGGACCTCGAGGGGACTAGCTGTTGTTAGGAAAAGGGCGTTTATTACTGTTTAATAAAACCTGAGTCATGAGACCCTTCAGATGTTTATCAGTGGGTCACATGCTTGGGAGATGATTGCCAACATGTAGCTTGGTGGGTAGAGTTAAAGGAAGTTTCCAAAGGAATTTTTATGTTAAGATAGACTTCCAGGATCCTGGGGGTTGGGCTAAGATTGTCTTTTGCCCTTAGCAAAGCATTGACATCTAAGCCGCTGAGTCCCTAGAGGAATGTCACTCTGCTGGTTTCAAGGACTTGTCAATGGGCTGTAGATAGTAAGGACATTCAATAATTTCTTTTCTGCCTCTGTTTCCCACATCAAGATGGAGTTCTCTTCTATCTAAATTACTGCCTCAACTCTCCTGTTTGCTCTGTCTGTGTACACCAAGCCTGTGGTGATTCGTGGCCCCAAAATAGTCTTTTCTAGTTCTGCTTCTTGCAGACACAGTGTAAAGAAAACGGTGCACGTGACTCGGATGATGAAGAGGTGTCTTGATGTCCGGCCGGTTCCAAAGAGAACTGTGAACACATTTTCACCTGGGTGTGGGCTGCTCACTGCCTTTAGTCATGTGCATGCTCATGAAGAGAAAACCAGCGGGTTAGCCGCAGGATTGTGACGTTTGCCTTTCGCGACTTTGTCTTCCCTTTTCCGCCTGTCCTGGCATCCCTGTCCACCTCCCTCTCTCTGCTGTTTCTCTTTATTACTGAAACAGGAGAGCATCTATTATGATGAGCACTTGAATTAAGTATCCACACCTGTGTGCAGTTCCTCTTGGGAAGACACAGGTAAGGCTCTTTATCTCTAACTGAAAAGGAATGTGTTCCTTCCAGTTAAAGGGATTTCAGGCAATTGATAAGAAGTGCTGAGTATTAGTTTACATAGTTCTGGGGGGCGGGGTGAGGATGGGACAGAGGTGGTTTTCCAAATCCCTAAAGCAGGGCTTTGCCTCAGGTTTGTCTTGAAGTGATTCAGCTTTTAGGTGCCTTAGGTTGTGAGGATGAATCAGGTTGGATAACAAGGAGTATGAGCTAGCCCTTCTTTTTTTTTTT